TAATTAGTAGAAGAAATATGGAGGTACTTTAGTAAACTGCTTTTAGGAACTACTAATACCATTTTGGGGAAAAACTACTAGTCATATTTATAACCTTAGCTAAAGGGATAGTTCATCCAAAACTGAAAATTCCAAACATGGAGCAACTTGAGGGTGAATAAATTATTGCAGAATTAAAATTTTTGGCTTAACTATCCTTTAAGTAAAAGTATTATCTTGCATACTCTAATATACTTAAGGTATTGAGAGTAAAAGTAATACAGTATTGTTCTGAAAAAAGTATTCGTCAGGATGGTTTTGCATTAATATTACTGCAGCACTACTGTGTATGTTACATTTTTACTTCTGAATATGTTCAAGGTTATTAAATTTAAAGCTGCCTACTAAATATACTGTTGGGTAGTTTAATCTACAACAATGCATCATGTTGTAAAATACCATATTTTTGTAGTGTTGCTGTCCTGTGAGGAAAAAAAAGAAAAATTAGTACTTCATATTTGTACGAGAATACTTAACGAATGTACTTCCTTACAGTCCACCTCTGATTATATTGAAAATGAAAGTATCAACATTTTGTCAGAATATTAACACATTTTTGCTAACTATCAGAGGCTGCATCTGAAGGACTCAGAGCGGCCAAACAGAGCACTGCTCATCTGTGACAGCTGCCACTGAACATTGAGCTGTACTATGGTCTATTGTTTTTTATTCACAGATTTATTTTTATTTTTAACTGCCTAAAAAATCTGGGTTGCAAACCTGTCTACATATGATCACCATGGTGAAGACAATAAACTATATAAAATCACACCTTTGTAAGATATCAGTCAGCATTTGAACTGCTATGTCTGTGTGTGTATTTTGTCATTTGTATCATTACATTATTCAAGTAAGCTCCAAGTCAATTCCAAAACCAATTCCTGCATTTAAAGTTGTAATCCGACAAAGGACGCAGCAAACCAGTGTAACTTACCTGGCCTCGGTCTTGGCTAAACCTGAGGTACATCACCGTCTCCTCCATTATGACGCAAAACATTAAAAAAAGAGCAAATCTGGCTCCACCTATCCTGGCAGGATTGTCCTCTCGTCAGCTCTCCTCTCACACCGTTGCTATGCGACAGAGCTCTAATCGGGAAACTCTGGTGTCGCAATTAGGAAATCCTGCGAAAGCGGAGCGTCCTTCATGCACTTCTGAGACCTGGCCTTCGAAGTGTGCACACTCACCTTTGGGTCACAGCTTTGGAGCGCCTTGGGTTGATCATCAACCCGCACAAGAGTCAGTTGTTACCCAAACAGCGAGCGGTCTTTCTGGGAATGATTTTAGACTCCACCCAAATGCGGGCATGGATTACGCCAGAACGATCCCTGACTATTCAGCGATTGTTGGCCTCTCTCAAACCGGGGACGACACGCCCCCTAAAGGTTTTTCAGAGGTTGCTTGGCCTTATGGTGGCCACCGCCTCTGTGATTCCTCCTTCAGTTTTGGCTCAAAGCCCGCATTCCACCCCATGCCTGGTGCGGTTTCCTGTCAGGGTAGACCACCGCTGTATCAAGGCTGTGGCCCCCTGGATGACCTCTCGCCTGTTCCAAACAGGAATGAGGTTAGGCCTGACCTCCAGAAGGAAGGTAGTCACGATGGACAGGTCCAACTCGGGTTGGGGCGCCCTGTTGGAGGGCAATCCAGCGTTCGGCTCCTGGTCAGCCCCAAAGCAACACCTGCATATCAACTGCCTAGAGATATTGGAGATTTCTTAGCCCTGAAAACCTTCCTTCCAGCCTTGAAAGGGCGCCACGTCTTAGTCCGGTCGGACAGCATGACGGTGGTGGCTTATATCAATCACCAAGGTGGTCTCAGGTTACACACTCATTGCAGGATGGCGTGTCGCCTCCTCTTTTGGGCACAGAAATAACTCCCCTCGCTAAGGGCGGTTCTTGTCAAAAATCTGGGTGTTATATTAGATAGCAACTTGTCTTTTGAAAATCATCTTTCCCATGTTACATAAACAGCATTCTTCCATCTTAGAAACATTGCCAAGTTACGAAATATGTTACCTGTTTCTGATGCAGAAAAGCTAGTTCATGCATTCATGACCTCTAGACTGGACTATTGTAATGCACTGCTAGGTGGTTGTCCTGCATCTTCAATAAAAATGCAGCAGCTAGAGTCCTTACCAGGTCAAGAAAATATGATATTACCCCAATTTTACAGTCTCTGCACTGGCTACCTATTAAGTTCCGTATCAGTTACAAAATATTATTACTTGCCTATAAGGCCCTTAATGGGTTAGCTCCTGCGTACCTAACTAGTTTTCTACCACACTACAATCCATCACGCTCCCTAAAGTCTCAAAACTCTGGACTTTTGGTAGTACCTAGGAATCTAATCTAACAGAACAGCAGACTGACTGGCTATGTGCTGCAGCCCACCGGGCACGCCCGCACCGGCTCAGGCTCTCCACACGGGCCGCAATCAGAAGGTTTTAGCAGAAGACTTAGCAGAAGAAAACATGGGTGGAACTGTGCGTGAGCCTTTTATGGTCTGAGAAGATTCACGCCTCTCAGAATGGGCTTGTCCAATGAGAAAGGCTGAAATTCCAAGCGGGAGGTTGGAAATACTGGGGAGTTTTATGACCCTTTCTGTGAGAGCATGGTAATTGGCATATGGAACTCGTTTGGGTGTTGATGCAAAATTACAAAAGATTCTTAGAACACTAATATATTGCCTATGTACCAACATATAATATACACTCTCGTTTAGATCATCAGAAGACAAAGTCAAAGAGAACAAACATGGTATCGGTGGGGTTATATTAACTAGTGATTGTATCATAAGCATGCATAAAACAGTATACAATACAAAATACAATAGACAAGAACAGTAACAACATACACAATGAACTGAAGTATATGTGTGTTCATTCAAAGAAAGGTTTTCCTATGAATTAATTAGAGAAGAGTAAATTTTTATGGGCATTATGTGTCTGTTTTAGAGAGACTTGCTCTGCCTGCATTCCTTTGAGCAATAAAACTAGTGTTATCAGATGGTTTGTCTTTGGTTGCCATGGAACCAGAGGCCTGTTTTGCCCTTTTGAGGTGTCAGTTGCATTTCGGGGGAAGGGTCCATAGACCCTCATAGTTGGCCCTTTGGTTAGGTGAGGGGGCGTTAGATATTATTTGTTAAATATAACAAATATTTGTGTGTCTGATTGGTCCAAATGCTACAGCGAGATGCTCTGGCCCACGATTGGCCCAGTGCTCGCCTATACGCATTTCCTGCGATCACCCTGATTCCTCAGGTCATCAGGCGGGTCAGGGAGACCAAGTGCTCTCTGCTCCTAGTGGCCACGCTCTGGAGGAACCAGCTTCTTTCACAGGTGAAAGGCATGATTTGGCATCCCCGGCCAGAGCTGTGGAGCCTTCATGTATGGTGCCTCGACGGGAGATTAATCAGCCCCCATTGAGAGTAAACAATACCATTTTGGAGGCGAGAGCGCCATCTACAAGATGGCTTTACAGCCAAAAATGGTTGGTCTTCCTTAACTGGTGTTCTGCATGGAGTTTGGATCTGATATCATGTGACGTGTCCCACGTACTAACTCCATGCTCAAAGTATATGTGGCAGCAATCGCAGCGAAGCATTCTCTCGAAGCTGGCCATTCAATCGGCAGGAACGACTTGATCGTTAAGTTCCTGAATCTTCCTCGCCCTCAGACCGTGCCATCTTGGGACTTGTCTATAGTCCTGCGAGCCCTAAGAGGGCCCCCCTTTGAGCCGCTCAGCTTGGTCGATTTGCAGCACTTATCGCTTAAAACGGCCTCCTCCTTGCCTTGGCGTCGGTTAAGCGAGTGGGAGACTTGCAAGCGCTGTCGATCAGCGCCTAATGTCTTGAGTTTGGGCCTAATGACTGTAAGGTCGTTCTAAAACCAAGACATGGTTATGTTCCTAAGGTGCTCTCCACTCCATTCAGAGCTCAGGTAACGTAGTGAGCTCATAGGTGAGCTCATACCACATCAAGTCTGCCCTCCGCCCCTCCCTGGACCCCTTCCAGTTTTCATATCGGTCCAACCGCTCGACCGATGACGCCATCGCCACTACCCTCCACTCAGCACTCACACATCTAGAAAAAAAAGACTCATACGTTAGAATGCTGTTCATAGACTTCAGTTCAGCATTCAACACAATCATCCCTCAACAGCTCATTCACAAACTGGTCCAGCTGGGGCTCAACACTTCGCTGTGCAACTGGCTGTTGGACTTTCTGACTGGAAGACCTCAGGCAGTACGGGTTGGCAGCAACACATCCAGCACCATCACACTGAACACTGGGGCCCCCCAAGGATGTGTGCTGAGCCCCCTCCTCTTCCCTCTGCTGACACATGACTGCACACCGTCACACAACTCCAACCTCTTCATTAAGTTTGCGGATGACACGACTGTGGTGGGTCTCATTAGCAACAGAGATTAGATAAATTACAGGAGCGAGGTGAGCCGCCTGGCCGGGTGGTGCAGTGACAACAATCTCTCTCTGAAT